TAAGGATATTTTTGGGTTAAGTCCTGGAACAAGACTATAGTTCTCACCTGGGCCAAAAGGTATGAGAACAATGTATAAATGTTTTAGTTTAAATTTCTTCTAAACACTGTGATTCAGTGTTTAGGGTGCAATTATATCTAACTTTTTAAATTGATTGCAAGCCAAGATTTTAAAAGAAGCAATGAGATTTAGATGCACACACATTTCAATGATATCTGTGAAACTAATTTCAAATCATTTAGTATTGCAGACCTTTCTGTCATCACTAGATACTTCTCCTCTTTATGAACAAGCAGATAGGTAGTTGGAGTACATACCCACTCAAGTACAGGAGCTCAAATGAATAACGAACGATTATGTCTTTATGTCAAAACAGAACAAATCAGATCATTCATGGAGCTGCACTCTGAACTCTTCAAGGACAGCACAGTGCAGATCTGATATGCCTAAAGTAGACTATTTCCACATTGTCCGATACTTAAAGCTACAGCATAGATGTATGAGGTTCTAGCATTGTCCAGAAATCAAAATTTAACTACTTCCAATAGCTGTAATATTGCAATACTTGTAAATTAATTCAAATATATTGAAACATCTAAGATTAAAAGGTGCCTTATTTTATACATGCAGCTGCACATTAGTGGTGAGCTGCATTTTGCACTTTTCAGCTGAGCAGTTGTAAAACGTTGTACAAGACTGAACAGCTATTGCACAAGCCTGAGCAAGCTGTTACACTGTAAGCATTTTCTTCTAACAGCTGATGCACATATGATGTTTACGACTCTGCATAGCCAGCAATTAGAGGGCTTAGCTGTTTAGCACAGGCAATACAAATTAACATACTCTTTAAATAGAAGATCCCAATTCAAACCATATGGCCAGTCCAAGTAAGTTTCAAAACACCAACTTGTCATATTTAGATTTAGGTTTACTTAGGCTCTTAAGCACTAGGTTTGAGCCCAGACTCACCAAACTGCTACACAGGGACTGCAGATCATTATTTCAAGTACTTTCATTCTGAGTTGGCAGAAGATGGAGATATTCACTGGAGATATTCAAAACCCGCCTGGATGCGAACCTGGGAAATATGCTCTGGAGGACCCTGCTTGAGCAGGGAGGTTGGACTAGATGATCTCCAGAGGTCCCTTCCAACCTCAACCATTCTGTGATTCTGTGAAGATAGTTCTGAACAGTCCCTGACCCTCCAGTGTTACGGACGGATTTCAGATTTCACCAGTGTCTAATTTCTATTTCAGAAGCTGTCAGATAACTAGTCAAGCTGTCAGCAAAAGAAATCGGTCCTGCAGTTTTCTTTTTTTTATTTTTATCAGATAGCAAATAATTAGCCTATTCAAGGCTGTGCAAAAATAATGCAAGTCAACACTTGACTAGTTGCTAAAAAGAGCCTGGCAATCTTAAGCAGTGTTAGGTATTAAATAATTATAAAGTATGGTAATATAATATAGTTTAAAAGAATTCCACCCTCTCCTTTTTGTGACCATTTTGATGAAATGTGTGGCTTTTCCTCACTTCTGCTGTGTCATCACTGTGTCACTCCCCCCAGGAGCAAACTGTTAGCTTAAGCACCAAGAACAGCAAGTATAACAAATACAGGGGGCTTTCAGACAGACAGATATTTTGAGAGGTATTTATAAATTGTAAGAACATAATGGCTATACTGTGTGAGAGCAAAGGTACATTTAGACTTTGCTAATGTCTCCAACTGTGGCCAGCAGCAGATGCCTAGTGAGAAGTATATGATCATGACAGACTCGTAGTGTGTTTGCCACAGGCTTTTCTCTGTCAATGCAGGCCTGTAGCACATTTTTTAAGGGAAAGGATGGAATTAATCTAACTAAATGTGGATATCTTCATGGCAGTTATGCCATGTATGAGTTTCCCTCTCTAGAATAATCACATAGTGTTCAGTAGAAAATAATAAACCTCTTCTGATTCCATGTTCTAAATCTCACCACCAAGTAGATACCAAATAGAGATTAGGCAAATTATAACATATGTCAGCACACTCAGTGGAGCAGGGCAGAGGTCTTGATATATAATTAGAGCTGATCCGCTGCCTGTAGGAGCTGATATTGCTAAAAATAAGTTGTAGCTCACCATCAGTGCGGGATGTAACAGTTGCAATTAAAAAAAAAAAAATTCAGAAACTAAGGAGTTCTGGATTGGATTATCAGGGTAATTACTAGTCTTTTTCCATCAGTAGGGTTGCTGTGGAACATTGCACATTTTTTCATCTTTTCCCAGTTATTTTTTGCTCACTAACCTTGTGATTTGAAGTGTATGAAGTTCTGAAAATGTGAATAGCATGTCCTGGCTACCAAAGACCAGTTGCAGGCTGATTGTTAGGGCAAAAGTCTTATTATCACTATTCTTGAGTGACTTCTCAGTATTTTCTTTGCTCTTACGTTTCCTTTAAGAGTTTTCTTTGTAGCATTTTTTTTTTTGATGCAAAAAATATTTAGCAGTTACTCCTTAAGAAAACAGAAGTCAACTTCTTGCCTAAAATCCTTTCTTTTAGGCCCCAGGGCTACCAGCCTAAACAGTTAAGTCATGTTTAAGTTGCTTTGATTTCAAACATATGTGAATCCACAAGACAGCCAGTAAAAGCAATTTCTCTCTGTACCGACAGCGTAAAATGGATCTCTGCATGAACTAAGGCTGATGGGATCCAATTTCCTGTTGGCTTTCCTCTTTGTTCGTATGTCCGTGGCCTAACTGTGATTTACCGTGGTGGCATTGCGCTCAACAGTGAACTCTCATCAATGGAAAAAAGACTAGATTTGCTAGGTGAAGGAGCTCAGCTGTCCCAGCATTGCGGTACTAGGCTCTGCTAGGCTCTTCCTGCTGCTTTTTTAAGTTAAAGTAACTTGTTGAGGACAGCCTCACTGCATATACTTTGATAAATTTTCTCAAGAAGCTCTGCAAGTGGTATGTGATAGACATAGGATGGTAACTGGGCGCATCTTGTCAGCAAGGTTCTTTTTTTAGAAAAGGATGTTACCCACTTTCTCAAATATCTAAAATTTTCCAGTTCTCTTCTTGTTTGTTGCCTCTAGTATATGGAAGTGATGGGGCTTGTTTCCTCTTACTCAAGGAATTTGTACTGTCATACTCAATGTCCGATGCCGTACTAGCTTTATGAGAGCATACATTGCAAGTAACTTCAGCCCCTTCCTTTTTAGAAGTCTTCTAAAGACAGAGTGCATACTGTTATATTTATATAGCAGAAAATAAGGAAGAAGTGCATTTATTCATAATTATTCTTTATTTATTCCACTGGAACTGAGCTTAAAATCAAATCCACTCCAACAAGCACAAACAAGATCATCCTTTTGAATAATGTCTGGTAAATTAAAGGGGCTAAATTTTAGAGAAAGACAAACCTATTTACTGCCTTCCGAGCATCACTTTTTTGTCATTCTTCACAGTTTGTGTTTCTGTAAGCTGACTGCTGTGAACACGATGCTAAATTCTTACAGGGAAAAGTTATGAGCAAATCTGACATTTGAAATCCTAAAGCATGGAACCCTGTGGAAAATGGTATAATATAAATAAAGACCATAGTCTTTATTTCTCTTTTTCTCTTTTTTTTTTCACAATCACATAATTTCATTTGCTTTATTCTGTGAACTATTACCTTTATGTTTTATTTAACAATATGTTTTCATATGAGTTTATCTACACATTTTACTCCATTATTTTTCTCATTTGTTGTACGCAACAGCACAGGATTCTCGGAATAAAATATGACCCATGTGAAGACCTGATTTTATCTGTGTAAGTGATAGCAAGCTAAGTGTTTGTGGTTTTCTTTGCTGTGGAGATGATGTGGTTTTCAGACTTTTTGAAATATATTAATTTTAGTGAAATATTAAGAATTCAGTAACTTGTCCCGTTAAGAAAATTTTAGCACTAGAGCCTGAGGGTTGGATTTTCATCTTCTTATGTATGTTAGTGAGAGGTTAATCTCTTTGGTATTATTCTTTTGACTTAACTACTCAAAATATGAACACAGCTTTGAGAACCCGAGCCTTAACTCCCTGATATAAATCTGCAACTCGTTCTTTGCAAATGTTCTGCTGTAACCCTAAAGATTTCTCATGTTATCAGAATACATCTAACATGATTTGCAGAGGGCTTGTCTCTGCAAACACTGAGCATAAAACTTCCCCACAGTGAATTCAGTGGATAAGTTCATGATACCTTGCTCCATGCCAAGTCTTCTGGCTCAGTCCTGGGACAGACAATAAGAAGGCACAAAAGATTAGAATTATGATTTGTTCAATATTTTTCAGCCTGTTTATTGTACCTCCATTCCTATTTTCCAGAATGAATTATCATCAACCATTTTGTCATCTTCCTCAAAAGAGAAGGTGTGGAGGTAAAATTTAAGCCTGAATTTGTATATTTCCAGGCTGATATTTGAAATTTTGAGGTAAATTTTCACTTGAAACCAGTTAGCCCAACTACCTTCATCTAGTTATATTTTTTAGTGACAAGATTCGAGAAAATGTGTTTGAATTATCAAATCACATTAACAAAATTAGTCCCATTTTGAGCTGGAACTGTTCAACAGCTATTTGCCACCACAGGGGAAATACCTACCGTTATCTTCCAAGATGATGATTCACCAGGGAATGTCTAATATATAAAATGGTTTGTTTTCTTGCCATGTTGGCTAGTGTGCATGCTTTTGATATTGCAAAAGTTTTTCAATATCATGCAACCGAGACTGTGGACAGTGCCTGCTGAGTTTGAGTCAGAAGGAAATTAAACTCCTCACTTGTGTATAAAGGTAAGTTGAAGTTGATGGGATCATAACATTGAAAGATCTCATCAGTGTGAGGTGAAAGGGCTTTATTTTGTGCCATTTAAACAACATTCAGTGAATGTCACATCAAATCATCTTATCTAAGTAGACTATCTGATGCCTTTGTCAAAAAATCAGTGCTTGATCTCGTGCTGTTTTGCCATCTTAGGAATGCAGGTGCTGGAATGGAATAGCATCCCGTTGACTGGAAAAACTTATGAAGAAGTCCAAAGTATTATTCAACAGAGTGGGGAAGCAGAAATATGTGTAAGACTGTGAGTTTTTCCCCATCTTTCTGTTTCCATTTTTTTGGCTTTTCATGGCTTTTTTATTTATTTATTTACAGTTGTTAAGGTGGAACCTTTGTTACCCTGAAGCACCAATGGAATAATTAGCAAAAGAGTTCAGTGTGAGTTTGGGAGGTCTATATGTTTGTCCTTTTTTCTTTTAAAGTCATAAGGAAATGTAAGTTGAAGCAGATTTTAGTAATTATACCTCTATAGACAGTGATCTCTCCATTTTCAGGCCACAATCTCCTCTCATTAACACACAATTCACTGAATTTATTGGGGCTGGCCATTAAAAGAAAATGATAATTTTGCACTAACTTGATTTTTATTGAAATATGTAGCCTTTAGGTGAAAGTCGTTTAAGCATCATGAGAAACGTATGTACTCCAGGATAAACTCACATTCAATCCATTAAAGATTTCACCTTAAAAGAACCTTTTCTCCTCAGCTCTTTGACTTTAGCAGCATTGCAAATATATAAATATCAGCTAAGAAGGGGCCATGCTTGGGAGCTGCTTTCTGTCATGAACCACTATTCATTTATCTACTTAATACAATAATGAGGGTACGAGGAAAGAGTTTCTTTTGTCTCAGGCTTCTCATTGCTCTCTTTAGGGATCTCAACATGCTTTCAGATTCTGAGAATCCCCAGCACCTGGAATTGCATGACCCAGTAAAGGCAGGTAAGTGATAAGCTGTTGCTTGGATATTTAAGGATTGGAGAACAGCTGAAAATCAGATACGGTATAGGCGAGGATACTAGCACTGTAAACCAAAGTATTAGCTTTGAAATCTTGTTATGGGCAAAAAGGGGACCACACTTTATATGCGAAGCAAAAAATTTGTTATTGGTCTAATTGAAAGTTTTGTTAGCATACCAAAAATACAACAAGCAGTTATCATTAGTAGTCCAATTCCGTTGATACTGACACAGTCCAAATTACCTAATTAATGCAGAGGAAATCTCAGAAGCAATACTGCAGTTAACATTTGTTATACAGGGAAAGCGTCCTGTTGGCTACCCTTTTTTCCTGTGGCGTTATGCTCCCCCTTCCTCTGCTTCTCGAGTCCCTAGGGGCAGTGCTGTCGGTCTGGGGCACTGCAGCAAGTTGACACTTCTTGGGGAAGTGGCTGGAAGGAGTATGACATTTGTGGTGAGAATTTTTCCCTTCTCCTTGCTGGGAGGTGCATGATGTTGATGATTCCTTCCTCTTCACTTCAGGGTCTTCCTGAGGCTATTTTTAGATGTTTTCTAGCATGCTTCACACCCTGCTCTCTCTTCACTGGTTTGCAACTCTATATTACATATGACTTTACTTTATATTGTACACTTTACATGTGTTAGGTGCCTATTTTTTGTTCATTTTATTGCTCGTAAAATTGATTTTGCCCAGCTCCTAATTTTTCGTTAGTGGCAGTAACTGACCACTGAGTTGCGGGTAGCCCTGGCACCTCAGTTATGATCCTGTGCCTAAAGCTTCAAGCCATCATCCCAGGCCTGTACTACTATAAGCTGCATCATTATTCTAGAGTCATAAATAGTTATTTCTGCACAGCATAATTACTTGTTGTTCATATATATACATATATAAAATTATAAAATATATATATCTAAATTATTAACAATAGGCCTTATACCACACAATTACACAAAATGAAGCATAACTAAGACAAACGAGGTTATAGCCATCTGGTCATTAGACAGTTGCTGTTACAGCTAAACAGTCTAAACCTCCTAGCAAGCTGAAACAAGCCCAAATACAACCTGACAAGCCCCGAGGCCTGTGTTAGCTTAATACAAAGCCTGTGGCCTGTTACTAGTGATGACAATACTGTATTTACTAGGATATGGGGTTATACTAGGAGAGTACTTTGTGTGAAGTTCTGTTATGTGACTTCTAAGATGACAGCTGCTTTGGGAGATTTCCCTTCTGTTCGGTCAGCACCATGAGTACAGGCTGTATAGTCAGACCTAGTCCAACTTTGAACCTACATCCACAATATTACTAGCAATGCAGCCCTTTATGTAGCTCAGTGCAAATTAAATAGTTGTTTTAGTCAGCTTCTCAGGGCTCCATATTGAGTTCTGTGGTTTTGTAGCTGCACTTTTATCAGTCAGTGAATAAGTTAGCTGGATTAAATTCTCCGTTTTGTGGCCATGGAGCACTTCACATCTGTCAGCATCTTTACTGAGAAGCTAGCTTTTGTTGAAAATTGATGTTATTGATATTAGTTGCAAATGAATACTGAGTCTAACAGAGCTTTGAGGTAAGTCTGAGTTTTTCCTTCTCTTAGGTTTGTGTATTCTCTTCAGAAAGGAGCAGTTTCCTTTCCTGTAGACCTAATCTAGCCTAGCAGCCAAGATAAGGCTCACATACTGCCTTCCCCTTTGCTGTACTGGCTGAAAAGAATTTAAGTCTCTGGGAAAAGCATAATGCATAGTAAGCTGCAAATAAACAAACTGCCAGTGAATAGATTAGGAATGGAAATATGCAGAAATTTTATGTTGCCTAATCTTTAGCAGGACCAGATCAATGACTATAGTAAAGACCTTCGACCTCTAATACTTTTGAGAATCTAGAATGCAGGCTGAGCCTAATATCATTTTAACTCTAAGCACTTCAAAACACCTATGAAACTTGGTCTCATTTGTCTATTTAAAGGAAGGAGAGAGTCATCTACAAGGGGTAAATTATCTCCACTCATTTCAGACACACCCTAACACAGATGCCACATATAAGGGTGTATAATAAGGGAAGATGAATCAGGGCTGTGGTTTTGGATTTGCATTCATTTTATTCTGTTTGCAGTCTTAAAATTTTAAGCTCATTTTAGCATCTTTATTTTTCTATAAATTATCTCAGGAGCAGAATTCAATGTTATTGAACATCCATTTGACTCAAAAAGAGCTGAGGTTAAAGCTTGTTATAGCAAAGTTCAGACACCTGGTAAAAAAGGACCAGTTCTCAATAGCGAACCATAGTCCAGGCCAGTCTTTAACAATGTCATTTCCTCTAGGATGATTTAAAGTGATCAGCCAAGGCTTACTTTACTTCAGGTAAAGAGTAATCTTTGTAGAAGGCTTGTGAGACGAGTAGCACTAATTGACAGTGTTGAGTAAATGGGTTAAAATTGGGATGTTGAAATTGGGGGAGAGGGAGATGCTTCTGTTTTTCATAGCTTGGCCTTTGCTTCTTCAAATTATACAAGCAAATGGTATGAAAATTTATAAAGATCAGTGTCCTGTTCCCTGTGCTATGGCAAAATAAAACTCAATGTGTTAGCAGTTATCAATGCAAAGCTCTTTTACTTTGATCCAGTAGATAAAGCGAAGTCCCCAGGGGTTGATCCTAAGCAGCTGGCTGCAGAGCTCCAAAAGGTTTCTCTACAGCAGGCCCCTTTGGTTGCTTCCTCAGGAGTGGAAAAGGGATCTCATGTTCACTCTGGAACCACTTCAGCCGCCTCCAGTGCTGTTCCTAGTCCTGGTCAGCCTGGCTCTCCCTCGGTGAGCAAAAAGCGACATAGCAGTAAGGTACGAAACTTCTCAGTTATGCGGTAACATTGTTCTGATCACAAGAATAACTGCGTATTTATCTTCCTTAATGTAGCAAGAGATCACAGCATGTATTGATGAATCCATTTCCATGGCAGTGATGGGTATTACTGTTAAGTTATACAATTTAGAAGCAACAAAAGGAGATTATGTGATTTATCCAAGGTCATACAAGATTCGCCCCTCTTTGAAAATAGATTCCTTGAGCTTAATGCTATTCTTCTAAAATGAAATAAATTCTCTTTTCATTCTTTGTTTTTATTGCTTTTTGAACTATGCGCTACATGATGGATGAGGTACTAATTACACAGAAAAAGCTGGTATTAGTAAAAACTGGGATTTACCCCTCTATACTAAGCTACTATTGAAGTGCTAGAAGCCATGAATAATCGTAGCAGTATTGAGTGTTTCTCTGAAAGCCAGAAGAGCGAAAAATAAATTTACCACCAAAATGTCAATATTTTCTCACTAACTCCTGTGAACGTGTTAGCCATAGTTTCACATTTCCCTTGCCACTTTCTGTCCATTTCTCAGCTGAACTTCTTCCTCATTGTGCATCCACCTACATACTTGGTGAGGGCAGGATGGGAATTTAGTAGCCTTTTTTTTTTTCCCCCACAGTGAAAACTGGGTCATAAGGTCACCTATTATATTTTTACATTTTCACCCAAAAAACCCCCACCTAAAATAAAAATCAGTCTTGCAAAGACTGTATTTGCTAGTACAATTTGCAAGATGGAAAATTTGGATTTTTCTTAAATGACTACCCTGAATACTCAGCCTCTCACTGTCTTACTATTAGAAGCAAGGTTTCACATTGTAAAACAATACACTTCCCAACTATCTTTTTATCTGTATCTTTATTCCTTCCTGAGTCTCAAGAGTTTAAAAGAACCCAGTCACGAGTGGATTCCCACCACATTATTGTTGTTTTTGTACTTCTGTGCGGTTGAAGCTGATTACGACTTGAACTGTGGTCGTGTTAGGTACAAGTGAAAAATAGAAAATGGTGCCTGCTCAAAAAGTACATCATTTCACATAGCTTTTCAATATGCTTATGTATCTTTTGTGTGAGGGGAAATGCAACAATCCTCCTCCCCCAGCAATTCAGCAGAAAACATAAAGATATTTATTGATCGATTTGTTTAGGATAGTAGTTCTGTCTGGCCAGAATTCCCATAGTCTGTTTTTTGAACTAATTCAGACCTATGAGGCACACCTTAAATCCACATGCCTGGATTTACTGCACCTATCATGAGACTGGATGAATTCTGCCGTCAAAGTCCATGTGCTGTGTATGAAGGAAAGTACAGGTTTCTTAGCACAGATGTGAGTATCTTTACTGAAGTTGTTCCTTTTTGGTTAGAGGAATTGTGCTCCTAAATTACCTGAATAGTGACTCAAGATCCAGAAAGCACTGCTGTACAGTATTATCCTGGAGAGGTGCCTCTCTCTGTCCATCTCAGAAGAGTAGGTTCCCAGCTTAGGCTCTGTAGCAGGTCACCTACTGTAAGATGCATAAATTACACTTCTTGTTCATAGAAGATTTAGTAATTTTTATGTGAAAATTCATCTGGAGGCTTCTAAAACAATTATACTGAAGCAATTATATTACAATTAATGCCTTCCTATATGAGATGCAAAAGTCAAAATTAATCAGGTAAATATTTAAAGCATCCTTTGTTTATTTCTGAAAATCATAATGAGAGGCATTCCTTTCTTAAAAAACATAGCTGCTCTTGGCTTGTGCGATTTCTGTTCCTTGACGCCATGCCAAGTTTATAATGCTGTTGAGATCTCTTAGGATGAGCAGTTGCTTTCTCTTCTTTCTCAAAAGCCTCTCCGTCTTGGTCTGACAGCACTTCTAGTCAGGCTGCAACACTTATTCTTTACATTCGTCAGAGTTTCATGACAGACTAAATATCCAACTAATCTAACTGCCTCGTATTTTTAGCCAGTAAAAATCCTCTTTTTCAAGCTTTTTGTATAGAATGTACACTCCAAAAATGTTGTGGGAGACTTTTTGATGTTCTACGGTGAAGACTGTCATATCGAATGCTTTGTCCCATTGCCATGGAGAGCGATGGAGCATGGATCCTGGCATTAAGAGAGTTCCCCATCGTGCCACTGACAGCCCTTGTCAGCAGTGGTGACAGAGAGCATTGCAGAGCACCAGATATTAAATTGAGGAGGTGAAGAAGTGGGGAACATCAGAAGAAATTAATTTTTTCATCACAGAAGAGAGTTAACCTTTGGGAGCTGTGATCAGGCTGTATGATGTCCAAACCTGTTGCCTTACTAATGTAAACTGGACTGTAGAACAATCTTGCATTTACCTCATGGATACTAAATGTGCTCTAGAAACCTTTGATAGTCTTTACGTATTGAAGAAAAATGGGCTGTTCTTCTAAACCCTTAGATCCCCTAGCTCCTAGGGAAGCCAGAAGAGAACTATTTTTTCTTATTTTCAGATTAATCCTCACCGACACCCTGATTCATGAAGATACTTAATTTTATGTCTGCCTTTAAATCCAGATCCAACTTCAAAATTGGCCCTGTTGTGAGCTGTGGGTTATACCGGATGACCTCCAGAGGTCCTTTGCAGGCTAAATTGTTCTTGTTTCTTTGACAGGTGTGGGTAGTTCTTCTTGGTCAGTGTTAAATCAGCTGACATCAGAGAGGACACAAACTGTTTAACACACTGGAGCACAGCCTTATAAATGAATACAGAGATTTAATGATGCTATAGAAATGACTGGACTTAAAAATGCACATATATTTTTGCAGGCATATAGAGAAAGGCAAAATACCTGCACAGTTAAGGGGTAACTCCACTTTAATTACCTTTGCAAGTCCCAACACAAGTTCACTGTGCCCTCTTCCTGTTGTCTGAACTCCTACAACATCACTTGACAGAAGAGACATTCTATATTACACGATATTTGGGGTTAACCAGACAAATTATTTTTTGCCATTCAGAGTTGTGAAATATTAGACCTTTTAGAATATCTCACAGTTATTTTCTGGACACGGTACAGCTCACTTGCTGTTATTTTGTAGCATTGGCATTGGCAGTGCTAGTGTAGACTGAGGTCTGAACTGTTAACGAACAATATAATCCCTTTGTAGAGGTAAAGTATGAGAAAGGTAAACCATGTAAGTCCTACTTGGAGGGTTTGCGTGATATTCAGATAGCTCACTGTCTCTGGCAAAAGGAGTGAAGTTCTCTCTTTAAACGTTCTTTTTCAAGGACCAAATAGGTTTTAGGAATTGTTTGCTGTCAATATGTATGTTACACAAATCATTTAGGATCCAGAACATTTTATGGACTATCTGTGGTCTAGTGATGTTCTTGAGCTTTTAGATTAGTTATGCTTCTTTACAGGATTTGTAGGGCACCAAAAAAAAGCTAATGTAAAAAATTTCCACTGGAATTACTTTTGAAAGACATATACAGTTTCAGCAAAATCAACATTTTTTTTATGAAAAAGCTATTATTCTTAAAGAAGTACAACTGGAAGGCAAGATGAAGCATGTGAAACAAACAAACAAAAATAAGGCCACACAGGACAGTAAATGTAAGTATAGGCAGGGAGTATGAAATTTGCCTCATCTAGGCATATTGTTGCGTAACTTAGACTTTGAGGAGGCAGTCTGGCTTCAGGGACATTCAGATGAATAACAGGCAGGTTTTGACTGTTTGTCTCTCTTGTTTTCTGCTGCATGAGTATTTGGCTAGGATTTTTCTGATTAGTTGTGGTTCTTCTCAGATCTGAGTGACTAAGGGAACATATCTTCATAGCGAGCCTAGAATGGGTCGTATGCCACGGTGATTCAATGTGCTTTCATCGAGGAGATGCAGGTCCCATACTGGCCTAATTTAGAAAAATTATCATCCGTCACCCTGAGAAAATCTATAAGATTGCTGGGGGCCACAAAACAGACAGATAGTTTTTTACTATTCTCAGAAAGTGCAAGAAATCCTAATGGCCGAGAATAGTCTGTCAAGTTGCTGTTCACATCTGGAAAAGTAGGAGAAGATGATTTCTAAATTGGTCTTCAGAGACCAGTAAGTTTGTCCTTGTTTGCCTCCTTTTTCTGCTGTATCAACTGAAGGAAGCACATGTGGAGAGAATGCAAAAATATTCAAATCCTGCTACAGAACTGGAGAGCTTTCTTGCTTGACTGATAACTTGCAGAGTAGAAGTAGGTCCAGGGTGGCTTAAGGATACCACCGTTTAACAGAACAGCCTTTTGTTGAGAGTCTAGGATTTGAAGGAAATGATGAAATTTTGCTTCAACTACTAACAAAAATAGGGAAAATAAAAAAGAAATAAAAAGACACACTCTGAGGAATTTATTGCTTTTGTCAGCAATCTATAGAAGCTCAAAAATAGAGAATAGGCAGGAACAGGCAAGATTTTACAGAGTTGTAATGGGGAGGACATAAAGCTTAAATTTCATGTCATAGTAGATAGAAAAACTGTGGAGGGATTTGAAGATGAAATGATGTAGTTGAATTGATTATCAGAGAACATGGAATAAAGCAAAAGGTATTATAATAAGTTGGTGTGGAATTATGATATCCACTTCTCACCTGTTTTCACCTATCCAATTCTCACCTGTCTTTAGTGTTATTCTTTCCACTCTTTCTACCCACACTCACCTGAACTTGATTTGAACTATTCTAACCCATGCTGTTCTATAGAAATATGCCTCTGTTGTGTTTGACCTGTTATTTGGTTTCTCTTTGCAACGTTCAGTTTTCCAAGACTAGGATAATGCTGTCTCTCTTTCTCCCCAAGTCTCCCTGTGTGACCAATGTGCCGAGACTGTAAAGACCTTGATGGCCAGCTTGCCTGATTCTGTACTTGTGTGAGGCCTAGAAAAATGACTGGAGTGGAGTCTTTAAGTGTTATTAAAATAGCATAATTACTATTATTGAATGTACACACTGGAGACAATGAAATCATTTTGGAAAAATAAATGGTAGTATGGCAGTGTAAACAACACCTCTTTAAAAATGTTAACTTTGATAATCTATTATTTCCAAGATGCATATGTGTATTTCTGAGTATGTGCCTGTATATTTATTTATGTATTTTAATCTGGCAGCCCACTGAAGCTATAAAGTCTGCTTCCCATCCAATCACTGGAGAAATTCAGGTAAATATGTAATTATTGCTATGTAAACTGTTGTATGCTATGTAAACTGGCTGTTTTCCTGTTGAATAAGTTCTCTGAAAACAATCTCCATTAAGTGATTTCTTGTTTAACTTCAACCCCTTGAAGTGTCATTGTGAAAGTGAAATGACATGAGGTGTAAGTCAGTGCTAGATTTTTCACGTTTATCTTTAATGTCCACATATGAAATACAAACAGAAGAACAGAAAATACAACTGTTCCTGAAAGAGCTAAAAATACAGTGAATTTCATTCTAATCTTTAGCCTTTAGGCACTTACTGTGGCTTACCTCTGAAATTCTGAGACTCCCTACATTTAAACAAAGACCGCTGTGGGTTTCTTGTGGTGCAATGTAGTCTCGTTTCCATGCAATGTCAAATTTGTGATTATCTCTCTCTATATATATATATTTTTTAAACAGTGGAACTGTGAGCAGCAGAACAAAAGAAGCCTAATTTTTTATAGATTTCTCTCCTTCACTTTCTTAGTTCATCCCTCCTTCTTTTACTGATACTAAGGGTACTTCCATACTACTACAACATCCTTCCAAGGCTTGCGCTGCAGGTAGTCAGAGTTGTGTAATTCCTACCTAGTTAGCTGGCTGTTGCACGGCAGAATGTCAAGTGCTTGAATTTCATCTGCTTTTCCTTCACTGGAAGAGACAAATATGACTGTGTGCTTCTTTTTTAACAATACCTGTAGAATTTGAAATAATAATTCCTTTGAGTATCCAACATAGTCATCTCTAGCCTCCCATTATAGTCGTTGGGAAGACAGAGAAACTTCTAGGATGTAGTTATTTCCACGCAAAAGTAAAGATCTAAACCTCATTTTATGCAAAGGATTTGGAGAGAAGTTGAAACATTTAGGAAATACTGTTTAAAAATAAAAATCTTACTGTGTTTTACTGCCTTCTCTAGCTTCAAATCACCTATGACAAACACCTTGGCAATCTTATCATCCACATCCTTCAGGCAAGAAACCTTGCTCCCAGAGACAACAATGGCTATTCTGACCCTTTTGTTAAAGTTTATCTTCTGCCAGGGAGAGGGTAAGTGCAGGAGAAATTTCATTTCTTTTTTTGTTTGTTCCCTGTTGCTAATAAACAGAAAAGACAGTTATTGCTATAGAAAATGTGGGTACAAGATCAGGAAAAATGATGGCATGGTGAATTTTTAATGAGTTATTCAAAATTAAGAGCTGGATCCTATTCTCAGGAGGAAGTACATATTTTGTTAGTTCAGAGGCATCAGGATCATATCTGTTAGATTTCTTGTTTTTTTTAATCTTCCTATTTTAAAATTGTAGTGCATGCAAAAACTTATATTGAGAGAATGACAGAGTTTGCTGAAATGTACCAAATGTATGCACTCCAAAGTTCTTTTTAGAAATCTTTCTTTAATTTGTATTGAATTGCCTGCATTCTGGGGCTCATAATGAGTTGTCCTGTGACGCTATAGTACAGGAAGCTGCAAGTTAGGGTTAACATGGAGTTATTGCTTTCACTTGGACATTCTGAATTTGGGATAGATTTGCAAATGTGCACAACAGGAGCCGAGTTTGATTTAAGGTTAGAGGATGATATTAAAGGTCAGAAATATTAGCCAGAAAACATTCATTCCATGGGATTTTTTTTATTTTATTTTTTTAAGTGCTAAAAGCTAAGGTGTGATTTTAGTAATTCTGGTAATTTTGTATTTAGAGACTAAACAAATCACTAATCTTTTTTTTTCCACAGACCATTTCTTTTTAGGCTCTGATGATAATAACAAATAGCTCAGCAGCGTTCCTTTAAAAATGTGCTTCTATATTAGTGATTTTGTAGCTCTTTTTTGCTCTGAAGTTGCAGGATGTATACATATGCATAACTATACACATAGGTATAATAATTCTGCTGACTTCAGTGACACGATAGATGTATCTAAAGTTAAGCTCATGGATCAGACCTTAGTTTGCAAAGACAAATTCTGGCAAATTTTTCTGTATGTGTAATCACGCTCATGCTACAAGATTCTTAGACTTGGGCTGTGTTATTTAAAAAAAATTGTATTTTTGACCTTATTTAAGGTAGCAGGAAAGTGAATGCTATGGTCACAGTTCAGGAAGTGGTATAGAGACAAGCACACCCAAGAGCGCATGAATGGGACAACTAAAAGCATGTGGTTTTATTGGCATTAGAACTTGCTAATTCAAGTTGCACAGGATTCCATATTGTTCAGTGGCACTGGTTCCAAAGCTGTCACTGCATGTAATGGGAACAGGCTAGGATATGCTCTAAAAAGACACTTCATGGTGGACGGATAACACATTCAAGTATTAAAAATCTGGAGGCTTTTTTTGTGCAATTAAGAGTCTTGTTGAATACTTACTCAAGTACTTGATCAAACCAATCAAGGTACGTTTACTGATGTAGAAATGAGCCCTTGAACTACAGGTATGTTCATCCTGCAGAGTTCTAAGCCAGATCCAAATATAAGTTCAAGTTTGGGGCTAAATTATGAAGAATTTGGATTTTATTTTTGTTTGTGTTCATTTAAAATATGTCAGTGTTCTTGTTTCACATGTAACTTGGTGTTTTAGGGAATAATGAAGAGTTTCCCAAAAGTGCAAAACTTGTATTAGAAACCAGAAACTCATTAAATAGCTTTTATCTGTACTTCAATCCATATTAGGTTGCTTATTCTTTCTAATGCTTCTCTTTCCTTTGATTCTGGTACTAGGAACTACCTACTATTCATGTTTTCTTTCATCTCTATCTCTTCTCATTTTTTCTTATGCTGCTTCCTCTGTGTTCCTAACTCTATTTAATGCTGGGGGTACTCAGACAAGTCATGGTTGTCCAAAATGCAAGGTAGAGTGTGCTATCTTTCAATTTCATTCTTTTGTTTTTGTATGCATGCAGGATGTTATGATAAACCTATGCATTGAACTATAGATTTCTCTTGAGTTTTGATGACATATAATTGTGGCATGACTTTGCTGATCATCCTTTAGTACCTCCCATTTCGAGGTCAGAAGGGATTGGGAAAAAATAGCTAGCATTCCTTGATGCAGTAATATTCTAGGCCCAATCTCCAAAGACCAAAGAGAACTTTTTTTGAAATCTAGAAGAATTTAGTTCAGTAAGAGACATCTAAAATCAGTCGTCACTCACTAAAATTATGGCAGAGTAATTGTCTGCGAACTGGTCTCATGATTTTGAATGATGCCAGGAGAGACAGGCTTTGTCTGGAAGTGAGCCAGAGTATTTTTCTCTCTACAACTTGCACAGCATCCTGGCATTAAAACTAAGTAGCATTCTAGATAATCACCTAGATGAATTTAAGCTGATTGATTATATAAAAGGCCATTTAATGTAAACAAAGTTTCATTTGTAGTTACTAGAATTACTTGTGCTTTGTTTGTGCTGCCCTGGAAACATAAGGCAAAATTCTGTTCTAGAGAAATGCTGGTATCAACCCAGGCTAAGTACACAGTAATAGAATTTAAGGTCTATAATTCTGCACTTCTTTAAAAAGAGAAGCCTTATCAAACAAGTCAACAGATGGCATTTTAATAAACATATCTGTTCTAACATCAGCCTTTTCATCATTAATAAAAGGATTTAATGAATGTGTTTAAATGCCACATTTTACATGTGGTTATTCTATCCTTTTTTCATTGTACTTTCAGTTGTATTATGTATCTACAAATATAATTTGAGAAGCACAGAGAAATGATAAAGAGTAGTGCAGTTTCCATCTCCTCACACACGGCATATTTTACGAATTTCCAGTATGAATTATTTCATACTAGGTAAAGATTAGCTTTAATGAATGTATTTTAACAGAGCATTACCAATCACAGCCCAGAGGAGTATGTGTACCAGTAGGATAGACTTAATGTATTTGCCAGATCTTTCCCTTCAGACTTTTAAAGACCTTGGCCTGTCATCCAGCTTAGTCTGGGTCTGGGCTGCCTTAGATGTGGCCAAGGTCTCCTGCTTCCCTCTACTCCGTGGACTTCACTGGAAATATTCCAGAGTTACAGTGTTAACAGCCCATTTAACCTTTGTCTCTGCCAGCTCTGCAACTCAACACTGCATGAATCACCTTCTCGCATATCTCCAGAAAGAATCAGAAACTTTGAAAAGGTGATAAAGTCGTAATATTGCAAAAACAAATTGAGGACAGGAAGGGGAATGTCATGCTATGAGTGCATAGCAGGACCTTTCGTACTTTCTTCAAACAGAAGGTGTATTATTTCCTTAACACCAATAGGTCAGTGGACATTTAGCAGTCCAAGTTGTATATTACTACAGCAGCTTCATTAATGTAAGAAGTAAATGAGTTATCCTGGGTGCAGGAGAAGTCTAGGTAAGTTAATATTTCAGTAGTAGTTGATCAGATTCTTTTGAGGAGTATTTGTGAGGCCAGAGAGAGATGCCTTCAACCCTGCTGTCACTTGCCAATGTCACCTTGCTCCGAGTGGGTAAGTGATTTCTCAGGAAGATTTAGAGTGATGGCAGGGTGCCTTTCAAGCTTCAGAGTGGGAGAAGAATGCCACAGAGAGCTTAAAATATTTAAATTTTTAATTTCAGCTTTGCTTGCAAAAAATAACTTTGGGTAAGTTTCTTCTTAATGTGCCTTTGCTCCGCCTAGATTCTCATCCATCTCTCTCTTACTAAAGTATAAGAAAAAAATACAAGTTTCCTGAAAGATACCACTGTACTCCTTTGCCAGCAGAACTGACTGCTTTGTGGAGAGCTGCTGCTTTCTTCTCATAAACAGAGATGGATAGATGCTATGTTTTACAAACCCCATTTTTCAATAGATGGAAACCAGCAGTATAATATTTTTTCAAGAAAATAAATGTAACTGCAAAGAATGACTATGAGCGAAAAGTAAGAGCAGGAAGAGCTGCAAGTCCTTTTGCATTAGACAAGATTTTTCAGCCAGGCTTTGTCTGGAAGTGAGCCAGAGTATTTTTCTCTCTACAACTTGCACAGCATCCTGGCATTAAAACTAAGTAGCATTCTAGATAATCACCTAGATGAATTTAAGCTGATTGATTATATAAAAGGCCATTTAATGTAAACAAAGTTTCATTTGTAGTTACTAGAATTACTTGTGCTTTGTTTGTGCTGCCCTGGAAACATAAGGCAAAATTCTGTTCTAGAGAAATGCTGGTATCAACCCAGGCTAAGTACACAGTAATAGAATTTAAGGTCTATAATTCTGCACTTCTTTAAAAAGAGAAGCCTTATCAAACAAGTCAACAGATGGCATTTTAATAAACATATCTGTTCTAACATCAGCCTTTTCATCATTAATAAAAGGATTTAATGAATGTGTTTAAATGCCACATTTTACATGTGGTTATTCTATCCTTTTTTCATTGTACTTTCAGTTGTATTATGTATCTACAAATATAATTTGAGAAGCACAGAGAAATGATAAAGAGTAGTGCAGTTTCCATCTCCTCACACACGGCATATTTTACGAATTTCCAGTATGAATTATTTCATACTAGGTAAAGATTAGCTTTAATGAATGTATTTTAACAGAGCATTACCAATCACAGCCCAGAGGAGTATGTGTACCAGTAGGATAGACTTAATGTATTTGCCAGATCTTTCCCTTCAGACTTTTAAAGACCTTGGCCTGTCATCCAGCTTAGTCTGGGTCTGGGCTGCCTTAGATGTGGCCAAGGTCTCCTGCTTCCCTCTACTCCGTGGACTTCACTGGAAATATTCCAGAGTTACAGTGTTAACAGCCCATTTAACCTTTGTCTCTGCCAGCTCTGCAACTCAACACTGCATGAATCACCTTCTCGCATATCTCCAGAAAGAATCAGAAACTTTGAAAAGGTGATAAAGTCGTAATATTGCAAAAACAAATTGAGGACAGGAAGGGGAATGTCATGCTATGAGTGCATAGCAGGACCTTTCGTACTTTCTTCAAACAGAAGGTGTATTATTTCCTTAACACCAATAGGTCAGTGGACATTTAGCAGTCCAAGTTGTATATTACTACAGCAGCTTCATTAATGTAAGAAGTAAATGAGTTATCCTGGGTGCAGGAGAAGTCTAGGTAAGTTAATATTTCAGTAGTAGTTGATCAGATTCTTTTGAGGAGTATTTGTGAGGCCAGAGAGAGATGCCTTCAACCCTGCTGTCACTTGCCAATGTCACCTTGCTCCGAGTGGGTAAGTGATTTCTCAGGAAGATTTAGAGTGATGGCAGGGGGCCTTTCAAGCTTCAGAGTGGGAGAAGAATGCCACAGAGAGCTTAAAATATTTAAATTTTTAATTTCAGCTTTGCTTGCAAAAAATAACTTTGGGTAAGTTTCTTCTTAATGTGCCTTTGCTCCGCCTAGATTCTCATCCATCTCTCTCTTACTAAAGTATAAGAAAAAAATACAAGTTTCCTGAAAGATACCACTGTACTCCTTTGCCAGCAGAACTGACTGCTTTGTGGAGAGCTGCTGCTTTCTTCTCATAAACAGAGATGGATAGATGCTATGTTTTACAAACCCCATTTTTCAATAAATGGAAACCAGCAGTATAATATTTTTTCAAGAAAATAAATGTAACTGCAAAGAATGACTATGAGCGAAAAGTAAGAGCAGGAAGAGCTGCAAGTCCTTTTGCATTAGACAAGATCATTCAGCATTGACACCTTGACAACCCCCCCCCAAAAAAAAAGGACTTATTTTCTTTTCATTGCGAGGAAAAATATTTTATTACCTTGAGCAGAACTCCTCTGAGTTGTACATTTTTCTGCAGCTCTGGTATGATATCATTGGAGAGATACATAAGCCAAGACTTCTATCTTTTTTTTTTTTTTTTTTTTTTGTAATAACTGTGTGAAAATGAAGTGGCACTTGCCTAAAAATTGGAGATTTCTCTCTTTAAAAAAGAAAGTAAAAAAAATCAACTTATGCATATAGCTATCTATTTTTCATGCAAAAATGGGTATTTGTACTACATAAGTATGTTTTGAATGATTTGCTGAAAGTAAAAAACATCCAAAATGGAAAAGAATATTTTTTTAAATGAAAAATTAAGAGAAAGAAAAATGCTTTTAGGTTGAATGAAAAATTTCAGTCAGCTCTAGCTTTCAGTATGGAAATGTCAATAAAGTTTATTATTCTTCATGCCTGATCATATCTAGATGCTTCATTTAGATGCTAAATTCTAGAAGCCTTCTTGCTATGCTAACTTAAAAAACACTATTCAGAGCAGTCCCACAAGCAGAGCCATTGCTTGCCTTTCACAATGCATTCCCACTATCATAATGTCGATATATGTGACATTTTATAGATTTCTTGACATACCAGGTTTATAAAGCTGATGCTGTGTCCACTTCAGGACTGTGGCTCTCATATTATAGTTGTAGTGGCTCAGTAGTCTACTGAGGATGGTTATTCTTTACAGCATCTGCCTGGCACACAGTTCAATTACTTAGTGAGCTTTAAGATAAGTAGCAGGTCCTCCTGGTAGGTCCATTGTGCCCAGCTTGCATTGGTACGCAATAGCTTGATTGTATAAACTTTCAAATCCTTCCATAAAGTGAGTATAGCATCTCCTCTCCCCTTCTGAACCAACATTTTCAATAAATGCTGGCCCATTGGATAATGGAACAGAGCTATAAAGGCAGGTAATTACTTCTGAAATAATTAGTTCTGAAGATACATTAGCAAGAATACAGTCAGGAGCAGTGACATTTTGGCGAAAGAATGAACTAGGTGGCATAACTTCCTACATATTTTCTAAGTAGTTTCTGAAATATTACATGAACTTCAGAAAATTAATTTAAGTTTGTTGAGTTGCATGGACACTCTCCAATCAATACAACCATTTAAGTAATTTAAAATGTATGCTATGTAAAAGATAGAATTTCTGAAATATAGTAGGTTTGTTATTTGGGTTTTTTGGGTCAGTTTTGTAATGTATTGATTAATGTAAAACAGATAGATAGATAAAGGAAACTTAATCTCCAGAACCAGCCAAAATAATGATTTAAATTGTGTTTTAATTCTTGTAGCAGTGTGTTGAAGAGTGCTTCATTACATAAGCAATACTGTTAATTTTAGTGGGAACACTTGTGGAGTGTTTGGTGGGTTAACCACCATGTCCAAGGCTGTAATTCTGTAGACATACAAAGTAAGACAGCCCCCTAAGAATTAAAAAAGAGAGAAAAACAAAAGAAAATATTAACCTGCAGTGTGTTTCCTTTACAATTTCAAAATTCTTATCAAAACAGTTGAGAGCGCTCCTCCCCCTCAAACGAAACCTCAAACCTCGTAGAGTGTACTAATAAAATAAACAGTACCCAAGAATAGTCCTGGAAGCTGGAACTCAGTCACCAGTATTGTTAAATTTTTAGCCCAGGGCTAGCCATGGTTTTTGCCCAGCTCAGCTACCATTCTCCCAAACAGTTCATAGGCCCGCTTTGGGAAGTAACAAGCTGTCTAGTAGGGGCTTTGATGTGGCCACCCCTTTTTGAAGAATAAGGCCACCACACACTCCAGAATCATTAGAAGGTGGCACTGCACAACAGGATTGAGTTTGTAGACTGAAATCACTGGTGCTGAAGGCTCAAAATAGAGAATATATGCCTTTCGGGCAGCTTTAATTCAGACTAGCACCAATCTGGTACCATGTGCTATACACCATTAGTGGTTGGGTTGAATAAATGAGACCCTGGAGAGCATTTTCTGCTTTAGTTTAATATGAGAGGAATCTTGTTCATTAGCGCTGAGGCCATGCTACAGTGCAAACCCAAACACAGTTCAGTATTCACAGTTCAAGCTCAGTCAGAAGAGAGACAATCAGGAGAAGAGCACGCTGCCAAATGTTCATGCAGAGGCAGCATAACAGAATTTAGTGGGGTAGATACTGGTCATACTGTGGCATTTGGCCTGAGTGGTAAAGAACAGTCCTGAGCACATTTAGTTTAGTAACAGTTGTAACATGTAAGTTTTTCAGTGTATGGGAAGTTTGAGCAGAAGTATAAGGGCAGTTAACTTGCAGAGTGGCAAAAAAAGAATCTTTTCATCTGCTGGCTTTTCAAAGTATTAAAAGCTTTTCATGTTCTCCTACCCAACCTTTTCATGATCTCCATTAAAATTTATATTAAATTAAAATTGGAATGGAAGCAAATCTGACATCAAAGCTCACAGTGCTAGATGGATCCATATTCTATTAAAGGTTAGTGTATTGCTTTCCCCATATTCAGGAAGTGCAGACTATCATAGAATGCTCTACCAATTCTTTTTTAAAAATAGATTGTCCAGCCAAACATTTTATTCTTGGCTGTTGCTAAAAACAATCATAAGCTTGGTGCACTTTTATGTTTCTTTCCAGTACAGTTAGAGGCAGATCCAAAGAAGAGGATCAATAAGAAATTAGTGCTATCATTGAGAGGGTATTAGTTACCGTATGGCCTTCATTAAACATTCTTGTGAGATGAGACTGCTATAATCACAGAATGTAAACTATAAATATAATGGATTCATGCTACCCCAGTGTGCTAATAGAACTGTCTTGGAAAACAAATCAGTGCATTATCACTTTCTCTTATAATCAGAGCACGACTCCTTCAGTGCAAAAACAGAACGTGTGTGTATGTGCTACTGGTGCTTTAGCTTGAAACAACAGTAGGCAGAGACGGCCTGCTGAAGAGTCAGAGGAGGATATTTTAAAAGATCATGTCAGGAAAGCATACTAAATGTAATAAAGAAACCCGCAGGCTATCTTTGTCCTCTTGTAATCCTGAGCTGTTGCCGAACTGGGGAAAGGAGTTCTCCTCCCTCCCCCACCTTTTTTTTGCATTAGAGCTGAAAGAAACAAAAGATCATTAATGTAATGTTTCCTTCCTTTGTTCAAATTCAGTGCTGAGTACAAGCGGAGGACTAAATACGTGCAGAAGAGCTTGAATCCCGAGTGGAATCAGACAGTCATTTATAAAAATATCTCCATGGAGCAGGTGTGTGACTGTTAGTACTACTCCTTGTGGTTGGCTGCTTTATTTGTATGGTCTGCAGTGGCCACTGTGGTGGGAGCAGTGGTTCTGGCAATTCTGTGAACCCCTGTGAACCCTTGCCAAATTTAGGGAAAATTTGGAATTGTGTCTTTGGCTTTGATAGCGGTCACTATATCAATACTCTTTTCTTGTCCCTTTTGCTCATAAAGTGGTAATTTGTGGGGATGGGGGATAGTTCAGAAGGCACCAAGTGTGAATTTCCTTGCTCAGGCCCATGCAGCGCATCACCTTTTACACACGCATCAAATTCTATACACACAGATACAATAGGAAAACATACAATGAGAATGGTATTATTTCTGCAGGATCAATATTGTTGTATTGTTAGTAATTTTACAAGTGCATTCAATATAAGTGTATCAGACAAACAGTGAGTTGTTTTGAGGGAGGTTGATCACTATTCACTTTTTCTCCTCTTCCCTAACTGTGTTCCACAGGAAGCACATGACCCATCAATTTGATCACAAGCTTGTGGCCTGAGATTCATACTTTTGTCGGCATTTCTCAGATTTGTGGAGATAGATAGTTCCAGGACCTTAACATTCATAATTATGTCACAAGTACATGTGTGGCAACTCTAAAAATGGTAATGCAATACAGGGAGGGAATAAATCTAGACATAATGAGTTTCTAAAGCAGATGCAGAAACCATTATTCTTGGCTGTAGAAGTCATGCAAGTTTCCTCCAAATACAGGTTCTACAATGTTCTTATTCAAAAACGTATATGAAATGTAGAGATACATGTTCACATATAGCAACAATGTTTATTAATTGGCTTGAAATATGACTTACCTGAAAAAAATATCAGATGAGATTTAATTTCCTTGTTATAGAAAGACTTCAGGAGGTCTATGAAAGTCTTCTCTGCCTGTTTCTTGGTGACTCTCTAATTCTAAGAATTGTCATCTGTGGTGTTAACTGAGGCAATATGTAGTAATTCAGTCCGCTTGGTCTCCATTTGGCTTTTAAAGAGACTTTCTGCCATGTGAAAAGGCAAAATGATGGTCAGGCCTTTTGTTTACATTATGTAGTATATTTTATGGGATACTGGATCTGCATGCAGTTTCTAATCTTTCTGCCTGTCTTAGTATTTTGTTCTTGATACTTTCAACTTCATTTTTCAAGGCCATCTGATCTTTCTGTACTTCAAAAAAGATGCTGCAGTGACAAGAATATTGAATGACCAAATTTTTCAGTGCCTTTAAGGTGCTTCTCCAACATGACACTAAGACCTCAATATTATCTTCCTAACTTAAAATGTTAGTTATTCATTCTTCTTGTTCAGCAAGGGCAATGTAGAGGAAGATGTTGGCTTTTGCAAGGAGCAAAACCCTTCTCATAGAGGGACTTGCATGGTTGCTCATCTAATCTATAGCCTGTGGTCTTTACAGTCACTACCTCAGATTAATTCAGAGGCACTCTATTATATTTAGTGGTTGTGGTTAGTAAGGGTTCTGATGCTGGTTATGATTAGTAGGGTTTCACATGCTACTTCTTGTAAGCTTGCATAAATCGAAGCTCATTGAAATAAGCCTAAGAAATAAGACTGAGAGGTTTGTATGGCTGCAACATAAACCCTAAATCAGGTTCATCACTGAAAAGGTTCATAAGTCTTAATATTTCCAAACAAGGTGGTCTGAGCTTTCCACTTAAAAATGACTCTTCGGGTTACTTAACATGCTTTCAGATTCTGCTGTGACATTTTACACAGCTGTAGGTAAGAGTCTTGGGCATCAGACATTCAGTTACTGTTTGGTCATTTTAAATTGGATGATGATCTTAATCTATGATTTTAATAGATAGAGATATATATGTCGGAAAATCTCCTAATATCTTTCTTTGATGTCACTCTTTTGACCATTGCTTGGTGAAATGTAGCCTTTACGTCACATATTGAATTCTTTGAACTTCTGCTTTCAGTTTGCAAAATCCCTCCTTTTTCTTTCCTCTGAGATTTTTATACAGAGTTTATGATTGTAAGCATGCACACTTCTTCCAAGCATCATGTATGTTATATATTCTGTCATCTTCTCAGAGAGGGAAGCATGTGCAGGGAAAAGCATTTCCTTCCACACCTCTTCATGGCTTTTATCTAGTGGTTAGATAGCTGTGTGAATGATTCTTCTCCTATTAAATTTGTTGCCCTGGCTTAGAGAATACAAAATAAAGTGCCTGCCTGAATCAGCGCATTATTCCATGCTGATAAGTGCATTCTACAGTTTGAAGGCATGCATAGCTATTGTTTGCACTTACAAACCTCGTGAATACATATTTCACAATAGTCATGATAGACTGAGAATAAATGATCTGATCAACAAACAGGCAAAAATATATCATGAACAAAGTTGTACAGAGTTAACAAGCCCTTCCCTAATTTAAGCTTCTGAATCTTTATAAATATTATTTCCTAAAAGAAGCATCTCCTTGCCATTCGTCAAAGCAGGGGGTTGCTTTCTGACCACAAATAAGTATTATGAATATTTCCTAATATAGTCCTTTCACTGTCTAGACATTGGCTTGTTACACAATTTTTCATTTTCCTTTTCTGTTTCATAACCTAGCTGAAATTAAAGTGAAAATAATTATGAGAAAGACTTCTCTCTTTGAAATGAAACAGAGTTTTTCAAAGTCAGAATGATTAGTTTTCTAATGTAGCAAATTCTACTTTGACATTTGGAGATAAAATAAACTAAACTCTGAAAATTTAGCAATTTAAGGTGTTTTTTTTTTTTTAAAGTAATAAAGTGCAAGTAATTACAGTTTGAGAGGAAGGCCCAGTATACGTAGTACAAATATTGTATAATAATTGCTAACTCAAGTCAACTACCTACTTTGGGTAGGAGATGATGCATTTGAGTGATTTTAGGAGAGATGGTTAAAGGTATAAGTTCTTTTGCTGGTTAGTTCATTCAATATGATGTGTAGCTTTGTTCACCTCCATTTCTTATTCATCAGAAACTAGAAAAAGTTATTTCCTCAAGTAACAGATATAAATCACTAAAATGTGTAGCTAAAGCTCTTGCAAAATTTTTTCATGTCCTTAAATTGAAGGTAGTATATTTAGAAAGAATAATATTTTCAAAAGCCATGAGAGATTGAGGAGCCTAAGTCTCATTCCCAAAAGTAATAAAAGCCTTCATAAGAGTCAGTGAGACATTGAAGCCTATATATTACTGAAGATCTTGAACAATAGAATGTAGAGTCCTAAGTTACCTTTCGAAAGTCTTTTTTATCTTCCTGTCCTGAGGAACAGCAATATAGAGATGAGAACAATAAAATGTTAAATGTGAATATAAACACAAATGTGAATTAGACACAAAAGTATATTGCATGATCTTATATAACACCTTAATTTCTGCCCATCAAATATGTAAACTGAAATTTGCAATCTTACTCTATTAAAATATCTGTGGAGTAGTTATAGAATTTACTGTAGGCCTAGGAGAAAATAAAACTGCATTAAAATATTTTGCCTTTACTCTAGTCATGGACTGTATGCACCTCTTTAAGGAAAATTTATTAAATATTTCAAGTGATGCATTTTTTAATTACAAATAGACTTGCATCATCAGTCACAACATACAGTGAACTTAAAACATTCAAATGCAAAAATAGACACTTCTCTCGTGTGTTATTGATTACGTCTTCAGCAAGGGAAATTATCATCCATAGTAGCAGGTTCTGCATATTCCTTCATCTTCTTTAAATGATGCTTGTCCACAGCAGCCTAAGGCTAACTGTAGTTCACATGCAATAACATGTCCTTACTATGTTTTTTTTTTTTCTTTAGTACATGCCTACAAGGCAAAAACTGAAACACTCTTTTCATAACATGGTTTGTGCTCAGATAAGTTTCACTGCTTTTCATAGTGTTTGTATGGCCTGCTGGGCCAAACGGCTTTCCTTCTTTTAGGGGTACTTTCTTATTTCCCTGTGACTGCATTGCCCACTTGCAGAAACCCACTGCAGTGGGTTCGACAGAAAATAATCTGTCGAAAGTTAAATCCCTGATGGGGATCAGAACTTCTGGCTTCATGAGCTAAAATGGGATGATGGGAGGCAGAACCTTACTTTGCTGTGAAAGTAGATAGGCCAGTTTTCAAGTCACTAGCGATCAAGGGCTTTTTGCCTTTAACAGTAGTACATATATACAGCTTCTGAAAAGTAATTTTCCTCCTATTTGAAACTCATTTCTTGCACCCTGCCTAATAAAGCTTTGTTGATGGTTTTTCATTGTCATAATAGTTTAATAAAGCTTTTATAAACTAAGAGGCTTAAAATAGATATCTCAAAGAAATCTAAGTGCTGCAAGTTTTTAGCATAGTTTTATACTAATACATACTAATGCAAAAAAGCTAGAAAAGTAGAGTTCCAGTTGTTTGAAAATCTCATCTATTTTCCAGTTGCCACTAAAAGTCCTTCAAATCTCTGTTTGTTTTTTTCCTTTCCTGGATCTTCTTTCTATCTTTGCACAGTCATCACTTGGAACAAGACCATGTCCTTCTAAAATAGCAAAGATTGAGACAACACATTTCTGAGAAGTATTCATGCTATTCCTCTCTTTTTTTGAGGATGCAAACACAAATATTTAATATAACAGGAAATCGTATCATTCAGGAATCTAAAAGTAGCATGAACCAGTGGCTGCCCAACTCATTTTTCAGATTATTTTCCACATTGCAATTTTGATACTGTCTTGGAATAGCAGAGAATGGATTTGATTCAGTCAAGGAAATCAGCTTTACACATATCCTGTAAAGAACTTTCAAAAGGGAATCTTTCCTGTGTTCAACTTTTTGCTTAATTTTTGTAGGTTATTTTTAAGAAGAATGTATTAAATATTGCCTGAGTAGTAGGATTAAAAAAAGAGAAAGATTAAAGAATTGTTCTCAGTTATTAAAATACATATTATTAAATCTTAGCTTTCAAATCATGTTGTTGACTTCTTAAAGAGTAAGTTGTACTGCTAAAAATAATACCATTCCCCTTTGTATGGGTTTACCAGGATATGCTGATTTTTAACATGATTTCTAAAGAAACTGATTTTGCATAGTTGCTCATTTTTCTAAACCTAGCTGGGAGCAGAAGATATTCCTAATAATAAGAAGAAGAAATTACCAGTTTCATGCAATTTAAAATGCTTAAGAACTGTCTGAATCAGTGTTCCATTGAACCAAGCAGCAGTGGAAGGAAATAGTGAATGCTGGTTTTCCTGAGAGTACATGTAACATGTACATTAAATGGGATAGCTTATTATTTTGATCAATGATTGGATCAATTGTTGCCCCTCTGTCCTAAGCAGCCAGCTGGTAGTGAAAGCTGTGAGTGACAAGTTACTTCTGACCCTGATTGTAGCGTAAGATTTCTGGTTTTGACTTTTTTTGTCCAAGTATGCAAACAGAGTCCTGTTTTCCTTAGTAATGCTTGGAAGAGTCCAGGAAGTTTTTCACTTACCACTTCCCAGCCTGACTTCTCAGATATCCCATATCCCTGGAACTTTTTCTTTCTTCTCTCTTGCAAGGCACATTAATTTATTCTTACCTCTTCAGCCACTTGTGAGACTTCTGCCCCTGGCACACAACACCGGTAATGAATCCTCTTGTCCTTTCTTGGCCATCAGTCCCCACAGACCCCTCAGATCACACTCAGATCAACCTTTTCTATAAGGTCAACTGCTTTGGTCAGTGACTCCTCTGTCTCAGGCTATCTTGTCATAAAAAAAGACTTGTTTCTTCCTTTAGCCTGTAAGAAGAGTGGTTTACACATCTATCATATTTAACAAGGTCTGCAGATAATGGGTTTCCATGGCTGCTGCTAATCCCTGACAGTACAACTTGTCTTACATGTCTGCACCACTTGCAGAGTCCCAATGACTGCACTGAGCTTGCAGGGTTGTTAAAGCCAGGTCTTCACGGGTGACATTATACAAATGGGGTTTTTAAATCAATGTATACAAAATCCACAAGCAGATGCAATTTAGGCAAATGTCTGAGTTCTGTGTAAACAAAGCAACTTATCAGACCTGAGGGTAAGAAAAGCTGCAGAAAATACAAAAATGGGGCTTTTTGAAAACAAACAAACAAAAAAAAGCAGTTTGACTGTTGTGGTGGACAAGCAGGCTGGTAAGATCAGCTTACAGAAACTCCTCAAACAGTGCCAAATACAAGTCCTTCTGTCCTGATATCAAATAATAGCCCCATATTCCTTTTTCTGAGATCAAGGTTGAGGGGAGGACAAAACCTGCCTGCCTGTCACTATGAGAAAGGGTGCGCCGATATAATAAATAGAGTCCATTATGTAGACTTGATAGGAAGTTTATGATGGCAATGGGGTTAATTATCTTTTGACTTAAATTGTAGCTGAAAAAGAAAACACTGGAGGTGACCGTCTGGGATTATGATAGATTCTCCTCGAATGACTTTCTGGGTGAAGTAAGTATCTAATTTTCTCTTCTCTCTGCCCTGACTAGCGAGAGTGTTGGTTAACTACATGCTAGTATTTGGAGACTGTTTTCTTCCTAGTCATAGGAGTAGAGAAAACATCTTTAAGTATTAGCTTCAGTTTGTAACAGTTTTACTGCTGAGTTCATAACAAGTTGTTGTAATTTCCTTCATTCAGACATGTAGGATACCTGCCTTCCCTTTCTGTCAATGAACTGTAGGTTAGTTTATTTGGGACTCAACACAATGTCATTTCAGTGAAAATTAAGATGGTTTTCCAATCATAAGACAGAAACAGCCATAACAGTGCTTGCGTGAGGGGTTCTTGTTATAACTGATAAATGTATGTATAAGCTCTATTTTAACGTTATATGCCAGGCTGAGGAGGTATCAGTCTATGGAAATGATTAAAAGATTAAATTCCGCCATCAAGCCATAATTCAACAGATGCACAAGTAACTTCAAGTGTTAGCTCTTTGGTTTTGATGATTCAAGGTCTCATTTTTAACTCCTGTGAAATAAATAACACTACAAAAGAGTAATTGAAAGCAAAATCTTATAAGGCTTATTGTGAATACCCTAATAATTAAATGAGATGGGTGATCATGGAAAGCAATGTGTTTTCTCTTTAAAAAGCAAATAAACAAATATATGTATGTACAATACAGAATTACCAGCAATAACCATGATGCGTAAGTAATTAAAAATGTTATTACTGAAAAGTATTATAATTAGAAACAGATGCCCAAAAAAATGGATTCCTCAAATTACTGTTCATATACAGAGTAACTTGAAGTATCTTGCATCTGAATTTTGAATTTAGCAAAAGAGACACTCAATTCAGCTCCAGTTCCCTTTTGTTTAACTATAAAACTGGGCAATCAGTGTCACTATTTGAACAATTACAAAAATAAATATATAGGAAGCAGCTACATGATTACTTATTTCCTGCATACTGCATCAATATTCTTGCTGAGTTCATTATATCTATCTAAATGCAGGGCTTTACTGGATGTTTACATCATTATTAATGACATTTGGAAAGCGGATGCTCCAGCAGCTGCTTTCACAGCAAAATTAAAACTTTGGACTTGAAATATTTTCAACCTCTAGAAATATTTTATTTATTAAATCATTCATACTTAAATAGGAAAATAGTTCACCCTAGAGAAAGGAAGGGAAAAGACTATCCAATCTTGTGCAAAAAAATCAAATAAGGAATATCCAAATCATGCTGTAAGGAATTTGTCTCAAAGGCATAAGCAGAGCTGCTAATGGGCTTTGAAGACTGTAGTCACATTGAATGTGACTGTAGTCACATTGCCCTAGAAAAGTGGCACATCGTGGTTCACATCCAAACGCTGTTCTCCAGAACTGAGCCCCTAGTCTATACTACCTACTAGGAACACAGCTGTCTTGCATGTGATTCCCTAAATCACAGCCAAAACCGCACTATGGAGCATGCTGATAATTAAGTGGTTTCTGGTTCTGTTCCATTTATAAGTATAGACCTAACCAGAGAGACCAAGCCAGGTCACATACAGATCTATAAAGCTCTAAGGAAGGAAGGAAAGGCAGAAAGGCTTTCGACCTAGACAAGATCACTTGTGAGGAGACTTCCTCACACCTAAACTTGAAGGGTCTTTTACTCAGTTTTGTAATCACCTGACAAAGACAGACTTCCCTGAGCTATTCTCCCTCTTTGTCTAGAATTTGTAAAGCTTCCCTATCTGACCTTAGTGTTAAATCCCCTCACTTCAGGGCCAAATGCAAGGCTGCTTTTGTCCTTTCCTTGTTCAAAACTTTCTGATGACCCTTTAGTACTCTGTGTGTTCTTTAAGAAATTTTCCAAAACTTCTATTAGCAATGCAGGTGACCTAGGGCCTATTTTAGCTACTTTTTGCCCAGGTTGCTCATTTCATTGCTACATTGCCATTGTGTCCTCTTTTCTAAGCCCCCAGTGAAGTTTTGATTCCTGAATGGCCTATTGAATTCTATTATTTTAGTGAGGTGCAAAGGTATCCCTGTTCTTTTCTTTTTGTTACAAATTCTGTAGATGTGGAGGTCTGAGAAGAATCAACAAGCACCAGTCTTACATTGTACAAGATCATATTACTAACAAATATCAAATTATTTGCCCTTTTCTAACATTGACATAAAGGAGAGAATAATACTCCATTGTTCTCTTAAGATGTGTCTCTACAACAAATGCAGAATGACTGGAGCTCTTTTCTCTTGCCCCCAAACTAGTGCTCACAAGCTACCCCTTAAAATATCTAAACATCTTGGTGTGGAGCTGTGTCTAAGCTAATAGACTCTACCGAAATCCTATTGAGGAGGCATATTAGTTAGACACAGCAACATGCTAATGAATGTTTTTCTGGACCACAACAAGCTTACGTCAGGCTAGGTCAGAGCATAAGCAGAGAATTTTGAGCTTGTCAGCACACATCCTTAGATCCTTAATCCTTTGCATTTGCTTGCAACTTCTGGTAACATAACTGTAGACTCTTCCGCTGTACACCATCATTAATAGATCAGATTCAGGCCATATATTGTACTTTGAATCATTTATAGGTATTGATTGAGTTATCCAGCATCCAGCTTGACAACACTCCTCGGTGGTACCCTCTGAAAGAGCAGAGTGAAAATATTGATCATGGGAAAACTCACTCTGGACAGAGTAGCCAGCAGTCTCCAAAACCATCAGTCATCAAGAGTAGAAGTCATGGAATCTTCCCGGATCCAGCCAAGGGTAGGAATGACTCAGTGCATTAGATATGAAAAGTGTTCCCAAATGATGGAAAAACCTTTGCTATTCTTTAATTAAAGTTACTGCTACAAAGTTGGTATACCCTTTCATTAAAAACTTGTTTCTTAGCCATGAATTCAGTGAAGGCTTTTGCCAATACTTAATTTGGCCTGATCTGTACCAACCAGCTTACTAAGCATTTGTGCCTTTTCAAATAATGACTTAAGCTCTATATGCTTTGCACATCTACTACAGATTCTGTGCCATTTTCATTTTTCTGATAGCCTTGACCAAATTCAATATGTATTTGGCTTTCTTTTTCACAGTCCTTAAATATTTGATGGACGTTTTATCTTCTGGAAAGGTCACATTAATATTTTTATAGAACAAAAGTTATGGTACAGCAACACATATGCTTTTCCAGTCAATGATAGTGGGCTGCGGTATATCTCAATTGCATTGAAAAATCCGTGGAGCTGTTATAGTGGAATTATACCAGTGCATAATTGGAGAGAGGAGAAATGGTTTCAATGTCTCCCGCTCCAGCAGTTTATCTCTAGGTTTTTTTTGTTTGGTTTTTTTTTTTTTTTTAAACTCAGTACATAGTGGCCAATAGCTCAGCTAAGATACAATATATGTAATATCCAAGTAATTGCTTTCCCAAATACAACCCATATGACAGCATCAGAGAGAAGATTCTGGTCTATCCCTTCTCTATTACTCTCTGTAACATTTTGCTAAAGACTCATGGTGTATTTATAAGATCAATACTTAAATCAGAGGTTATTGGTTAGTACGAAAGCTATTGTAAGTCGACTATAGTTTTGATCAGGGTATTCAGCAGTATGGAGGACAGAACTACTTATCTCGCCTAAATATTCGATACTGGCCTTAAGTGATGCTGTTTATTCTCTCCACACTAGATAAGTAAAAGAAAATAGGAAGTTTTTGAGGCTATAGGCAACGCCATTTTTCCACCAGTATGAACCAGTGCAGGAGGCATAATTCACAGCTGATAAAAACCAGACACTAAATGAATTATTCCTTGGGCCAGAGAACAGTGAGGAAGTAGAAAACAGTACTTTGTAGGAGTTTCCTAATCATAACATATCCTATCACTCTGAATGGAGTTATGCAGCTTAAGCACTATTTCTTGTTCTGGAATACGGTTAGAAAGGCTAGTCTAGAGAAAGAAAATGAGTTTATTTTTAATAAATGCAACAGCTGTGCTTCTCCATTTCCCTGGTAGACATGCAGGTACCCACCATAGAGAAATCCCACAGCAGTCCAGGGAGCTCCAAATCTTCCTCTGAAGGACATCTACGCTCTCACGGGCCGTCCCGCAGCCAAAGCAAAACCAGTGTCACTCAAACCCACCTTGAAGACGCTGGGGCAGCCATCGCCGCTGCTGAAGCAGCTGTCCAACAGCTTCGCCTTCAACCAAGTAAAAGACGCAAATAAATTCCTCAGCATGGCAGCTTAATGTTCATGTGTTGCCTTTTTCCCTGCTGTTCTTCCCTTTTTGGCTATTTTTTTCTTCTGTTATTAGCACACTGTGCTCACTCTGTTCAATGTCTTTCTTTGTGTGCCTGTGTGTGAATACATATAATTACAGTATACTCTTGTATTTAGAAGTCTTTTTTTTTTGATTTATATAAACTGCAGTGAAACTGGCTGTTTCTCCATCACTCCCTTCACTCATGGTCCATGATGTTCCATAACTGTGCATGACTCACAACAAATTCCATTGTGTGGTGGTGTTTTGATGGCGCTAAATAACTCTGTCCATGAAACAAGCAAAACTTGCAGAGGTGCAGCTGCCAGCTTTGCAAGTCGCACATAGAAGGTATTGAGAGCACATTAGACATGAGATATATTGATATAAGCAGAAACAGGAAGGCCAGTGCCATATAAGCAAAGGACAGTTTAGAGTCTAAAGAAAAAAGTTATTTAACTGCATGGCTAAGATGTCTATTTTTGAAAAATGTCTACTTGTAAATACCTAACATATTTTGGAAAGACAATGTAAGACAACCTCCTTTCTTCTTAATCTCTCAGATAAATATCTTATTAACGAGAAGTACACCAGCAACATACAAAACAGTTAAACGAGGTTAACACTAGTAGGTTTCAATATTGTTAACTTGCTCTCCATTCACTTTAAGTCAGTTGTCATAGTCTTAATCAATTCAATTTTCCTAGCAACTTCTATACCACAGATTAAGGATTGGGATAGATTTCATCTGACATCTTTAAGTAAATTAATAAATTGCAACTTTTCCATTCAAAAGTATTGCACCCCGGAGTATAATTCAGACCTGTATCTTATTGTCAGTTGAGGATGTAGTTACCGGCAGATTAAAACTCTCCAAGTGTGGATTCATTGTGTTTGTCTTCAGGATCTGTTGATATGCCATAAACTTACCATGTTATAGTGTAAAAACTAGGGGAAAGTTATTTCCCTTGTGTTCACCATCATTAATAAAGAAACAGCCAGTTTTAGTACTCTTTAATGCTGTGCATGTGGTGTCTCTTTGGTGTTTGAAAACACTACTTATTTAAATATGGAGAAAAAAAAAACACTTCTGTTTGCATGAATAACATTTAAGCTGGTTCCATCTGAGGATACATACTCTGGGTTTCCATTTCACCCACACTGCCACAGCAGCACATAAAAGCGGTCAGTCTAATCATGCCAGGAAGCAGCACAGACACAGCATAGCAGGAGTCCTCCCTATTCAAAGAACTCAGTCTGACAATCTGCCTCCACCAGCCAATGACAACAAAGACCAAAGCCAACTAGCCCTCAGGAAAGTGATGTCTGATGGACCAGTCAAGCCTGAAGGAGGTGAGCAGAAAGACATGGTTAAGAAACCAATCACATCCCAAATCCTTCTTGCCATGTCTATTAATTCATTGCAATATTTAATTATTTATTTTCTCAACTATTAAGTGCTGTAAATGTTAACATGAATCAAAGAACTCTGCTTGATCTTTCCACATCAGCGCATAAGTCCATAATGGAAAGCTATGCTAAGCAACATTACGGAACAGCAAACTTATGCTCTTCCATTCCACTGGAGGACTTGGACTTCTGTTGAAAAATGATATAGCTTTGTTCATGTTGCCTAATAAAAAGCATGCATCTGACTTGGTCTGCTTAAGCATGATTAAACATCTCTTGTGACAAAAAACCTAACTAACTGCACATTTTTATTTCTGGAATTCTAATTAGCATATTAACAATTTCTTTTTCCTCTCCCAACATTGTTGTTATGTCAGAAGCCATCAGCACAGATAATTTTTCAAACCACCAGTGGAAAGGAAAGAAGTTTTGATCCATCTCAATCTCTTGATAATTTTTCTATCAATATCTTCAAAAATTATTGTTCTACCTGTAGGCACCTATACATCAAACCTGAATGCCAGATATAATCAGTTTATCCCGTCATCACAAGAGCCAGAATCTCAGTCAGTTCAAAACAGCACTGTTCCTTCCATTTCTGGAGCATTTTGTTTATTTCCAAAGAGTTTGAGGAACTAGCCCAATAACGTTACAGACTGGACTGCCAGATTCTCTGATATGCTGTAATCCCTTACCAAGCTCTCAAGATTCTTTGCACGTTTTTCTGTCCACAGTATTGCACACCGTGGGCAATACAGGCTGGCTGAGGAGGCTGTAGGAGACAAAAGAGGCATGACGCTTTGAAACAGTATATCCTTAACGGCAATGACTCATTAGAGAGAAATAATGTGACGTTGAGATGACTGATGAAAAAGGACCAATTTGACAAACAAGGTTAAACAGTCTATTTAGAAATAACAAATTGTTTCTTATTTGAAAGCTTTAAGAAATTACTCTTCTGTAGATAAATTATGCACCTACGCATATGCACGCTTGCGCACACAAACACACACACATTCACATGTTGTTCTATTCTACAGCTCAATTCCAGACCCTCAGTTCAGGCAGAGGCCAGGGAATATGGCTGAACTAGTGTTCAGCAATCTTGACTGAAAGATCCATTCTATTCCTGGGATGTATACTGTACCAATCTAAATTACTCACATGATCCTTCAAGGTGTTATGTAAGTAGAGATTTATCGTAAAGACCTCTAGTCATATGAGGTCTCTTGCCATGGATAAACAATACTAAAATCATTTACTTGCGATATAAAGTTGAATAAGGAAATAGCCAGCCCACAGCTTAGCTGCAAGTACCATTATCATTGAGCTGTTCTGCTAGCTTCTTCACTCTTAAAATTGTGGAAAGGATATGTATAAATAAGCATTTGGCTCATAGCGATATTATGAGCATCAATACAGAATCCTGACAATAAGAGCCACATGAATGTCATTAATTTGTTAGTGGGGTTGGAGTTATCATGAGGAGATCTGGTACTTTTGTCTTTTTACTTCTGACATATATATGCAATGCATAATGACCTACACCAAATTTAAGTTTGGTTTCAGATCTCCGACAAAGTTTGGGTTCTTCTTGCTATACCCAAACTAGTTAATCCTAATTTATTCTTATGAGGTGGGCCAATAATTACTTTTCTGAGGTTTGCAGATTTCTTTTGCCTTTCACAGCAGGAACAAATACAAGAAAAATTAAGTTTTATTGAGTATCTAAGTTAAACCAAGAAAGATTATGACCTTGGATAGAAAAAAGTGCCAAAGATATTCAATCAAACTTTTGTTTTATGGAGTTTTCTTTAAGGGAAGAGGAGATGAATAATCCATATACACCTTTAATTCAAAATTTCTAAAATGTGAGACTATTGTGAATACTGAGTATTAAGGCATCAGTTTGCAAGTTCATTCCTGCAGGGGTGCAGCATTTTTGCGTTACCCACCCATCAAACCCTACTTAATGGGTTCCTCTTCCTGGTACCAATACATGAGTTGCTTTTATGGATTGGAGCAGTGATCTTATCAAGTTAGTAAGGTCTGATTTTGTGCATTTTGTCACTAAATCTCAAATTGCTTTATTAAGCAAGCCATTATAGATATTCTACATTAATTGCCACAGCTATTTCCCTGTGAATTTACCAGGAAACAATGCCTTTTATTGTTTCTTTTTACTCCAACTACATCAGATGATATTAAACTAGTAATTCCAGGAGGATTATGACCAAAAAAAAAAGAAATCTATTCTGTTGAATGATCAGTGCTTCTATACCTAACCTAGAAGAACCCTCTGAAAGAGATTGCTCCTTTTAACTTATTTTTGCTTTTTTCTTGGATTGCCACTTATAAAATAAATAAAAACCTTCAGACGCTTTAAGAATGCCTGAGAGAACTCTACTTCTGACTCATAAACCTTTTCTATTGTATTTATTTTGTTAGGTATTAACTCTATATGTGAAGAAAAGTAGAAACAAAACCATAGACAAAAACACCACCCACAGTATACGTGCTCTATTTTGGTGATACAAAGCAAAAAAAAGTTTACTGGACTGAATCATTTCTTTAAAGATGTAACTTTATTTTTAATCAAACTGTTTTAAAGTGAAGGTACAACAGAACATGTTGGTCTTCATTCAGCACCTCTGCAATAACCAGGATTATTTTTTAAATTAAATATTATAGTAGAAAGTTGAAGTATAATTTCCTTGTTGTCTATGAGAGGTAAGAGCGGACTGCAAAGAAACCAGTTGTATAACACACATTTCCTCTCACAACACTCATTGAGAATCCGTAAAATTTTAAAACCATCTGTGAAGGCAGAAGTTGTGTGGGATCCAAGACAGAGGGAGTGTTGTGTCTAAATTTGAGCTAACTTGATTTAGTTTTTGTGAAAATTTTGAATTATTGCCTATTCCACATATAATATTAAGCATATTCCTTTCAGCATAAAGGTATGAATTAGCCTTTATCCATCAAAGGTTTCCTTTAAGTCCGTGTTTTATCCTAGAGAAGGATCTTCACCATATGTAAATTTCTTGATAGGTTGCTTATATTTTAAATACAGTAAATGATTTTAGAATTCTTCTGCTATTAAAAGCTACAGATATTCTTGTGATATTTATCAGTTCTCTGGATATATGTCTATAAAAGTATGCAGGTGTATCTGCAATACATTTATTTACTAAGCTGGCCTTTTCGAAAACAGTGCATAGTGTCAAAAGAATAAGCTTCATTTTAATGACTTCCAATAAAGCAAATAAGACAAGAAAAGGCAACGTTGCCCGCCAGTGTCAGAGCATAAAATTAGAGGCTCAGAACACACGCGCACACACAAAATAGTCACCATATAGTCAGCCTGAATTTACATAACTGGCCTTTTTATTTTTTTTTTTTTTTTTTAAAGTACACAGTTTTATGGGGAGTTCTGGTCTCTTCACGGTATGTATTCTACATACTTTCCTTGCAGTTAAAATCCACTGAGGTTGTCCTTATGTGCAGGAAGGGATGCCAATTTTGCCCCAAAAGGCACAATGTGTAGTACATTAACATATTGACTGGTCAGCAACAAAATCATGCTGTGACCAAAGGTGAGGATTTCTAGACTGTTTTGATTCTTCCTAGGATCCTTGTATCACAGTAAATTAACATTTATAGCTGAGTAGACGATTTTAAGTCTGAACCTCATGGGAGTCATATGCATTCTTCTATCCTTTCAAACAGACACTCATAAGAGAAGTCAATACCCTATAGCTGAAATATCCGTATGATGACGAATACCAAAGGAGACATGAGCTTTTAGCTGCCTTGTGTATATGCCTCCTCTTATTTGGCACATAAAGGTACTGCTGTTACAAAAGCACTGTTATATACCTAACCTGAATTAGTCAGCAAATGTTCAAGATTTAGTAAAAATGCCAACTAATTGAGATGGAAGACCAACCATACCTGTTGGTACCAGAAAGATATGATTGGGGAGTTGGGGGTGGGGAACCATTTAGTGTACTACAAATAATGTATTATTACAGCAATTTCTATCCATTTTCCTCTATATTTTACCCAGTAGATCTGTTCTCATAATAAGACAAGGTTTTTGCAGCCCAAAATCTCTGGCAATTTAAATTCACAGCACTGTCTGAAAACCTCCAGTACTAACTAGTGTCTGTACCTAGAATCTGTTGAGCTCTCCCACCTCCTATACAGCATTTCATCTTTTACATTACAAGTTTTCCATTGTGATCCAAAAGCTTTTCTGTGATATCCTAAGAGGATACTATTTTCCAAATAATTATCAGTGTTTCAGTTGATTTCACTGGTCAGAGAGAAGCCTACTACCAAAACTAAGACTGGTAGCTTTCTGCAAGAACAGCTAGGCTGTGCATCAGTGTTTCCATAGTTGTACCCAGAAGAGCCTGTGAAATCATAGCTCTTCAAGACCTCTAGTTTGAAACACCTTACCTCAAAAGGGAGCACACCTGCTTTTATTTCCCCTGACCCACCAACTTTGACAAGAGTCCCTTTGTCAGCACAGCAATAGGTTAAAGCTCTGAAGAGAAGTCTTGTGATGTACGAACCAGCAAGGTATTGCCATCACTGTAAACTCCGTGCTGCAGGCTTGAGGCAACACTGCATAATTTCTAGCCATTAAGTTGTAAGAAATTAAATCTACAGGTATTTTCTTCATCACTAACTCCTTTTTACTAGTCGTAGCAACACTGTAGAGGGGAAGGAAATTGATTTTTAGGTTCTATGAATCTTTTGGATTAGATTTGATTGTACAGGAATTTTAAATAGCTGCTTATTTGGGCTCTCTTTAGGTATATATTCATTTTCACCCTTTTAATAGGCAATGCCATGCTCTAATTTCCTACAATAATTTAGGATGTTTCTTTCACACTGTAAATTATTTACTGCCCAATAAAGCTGTTTTATGCTTA